ACCATCAAGACATGCGCCTCTGGACTCCTCAGTGGTGGAGTGTCTAACCATCAAGACATGCGCCTCTGGACTCCTCAGTGGTGGAGTGTCTAACCATCAAGACATGCGCCTCTGCACTCCTCAGTGGTGGAGTGTCTAACCATCAAGACATGCGCCTCTGGACTCCTCAGTGGTGGAGTGTCTAACCATCAAGACATGCGCCTCTGGACTCCTCAGTGGTGGAGTGTCTAACCATCAAGACATGCGTCTCTGGACTCCTCAGTGGTGGAGTGTCTAACCATCAAGACATGCGTCTCTGGACTCCTCAGTGGTGGAGTGTCTAACCATCAAGACATGCGCCTCTGGACTCCTCAGTGGTGGAGACCGAAATTCAGTCGTTCCTCTTAAAACTCTTACGATTGTGAAGCATCCACTCTTCAAGGGAGGGTTCCTTGACACCGGTGAGGGGCTCTTGATCAAAGGAAGTGAACCTCACCGCGCCAGTGTTAAATCTAGTCTGCTTGCTTCCCGTCCTGGCAGGCGCTGCATAACCCTTACGGGTTTGGTGCTTTCCCCCGTGAATGCAATAATTAAAACTTAATTTGTTGAGGCTGCCGGGCAGGAACTGGAGCAGACAAGGACGTCAGGTAGCCTTTAACCAGAGCAAGATGGCGCAGGATGGAGCAGGATGGCGCAGGATACTCGACAGGGGGAGTCCTGAGACACACACACACACAGTGGTCAACCATGTTTGCAAACGCCAGCAAGCGGATACCTATCGTAGTGGCGTGTTCTATAGTGTGTTTGTGTTTGTTAGTGACGATACCCGTAGTGTTGCTCATGGAGAGGCAGGTGCAACTTATCCCCGTCAACGATACTCTTACCTCCGGTGACCTTCAACACACTTTGGTCCCAGACCTACAGCAGGTCAAGGTGGTCCCAGTCAACGATACACTAACCTCTGGTGACCTTCAACACACTCTGGTCCCAGACCTACAGCAGGTCAAGGTGGTCCCAGTCAACGATACGCTAACCTCTGGTGACCTTCAACACACTCTGGTCCCAGACCTGCAGCAGGTCAAGGTGGTCCCAGTCAACGATACACTAACCTCTGGTGACCTTCAACACACTCTGGTCCCAGACCTGCAGCAGGTCAAGGTGGTCCCAGTCAACGATACACTAACCTCTGGTGACCTTCAACACACTCTGGTCCCAGACCTGCAGCAGGTCAAGGTGGTCCCAGTCAACGATGCACTAACCTCTGGTGACCGCCAACACACTCCGGTCTCTAGAACTGCAGTTCAATACAAGAAAAGTCCAATTAATCAAGAACGACTCTGGAGTATTCCACCTTGTTTATAAGGATCCCGGAGGTTCCATGTCACTGGGGAAGGGATCAAGAAGTTCAGAGTTCAGCCAAGAGGCTTCACTGAGCTCGACACCGCTTCGCAACGACTCCAGAGTGAAGGAATTGATGGTGGCTGCCTGGAAGGCTTCCAGACACTTAGAGGAGAGTGCCTGGAATGTGTCGGGGCAGCTAGAGAAGAAGGAACCCTCAACCTTGAGATGCTGGCCGCCCAGCGGTAAGAGGAACATAGTAGTGAGTGGCTACTTGTAGCTGCAAGGTTTTTGTGAACCTAGCACTTCCCTCTTCCGGTCCGAACAGATGACTCACGCAGCGAGTATTTGTGTTTTGTATGTGTGTTTGTGTGTGTTTTGACCTGGTCACCGTCCTTAAAGGAGTGACCAACTCCCGATCAAAGAAACTTGAGCTCCAGCGTTGCTTCGTTAATATACTTCTGAAGATTAACAGGTCCAGCGCTTTACCGCTGAGTTTCGGTGCTTCTAATAGGAAAGTTTCACAGATGATGCTGTTGTGTCCTGTCAATGGCTACTGTCTGTAACCCGACTGTCCTTTCTCACAGCCCCAGCAACTTTTACGGTTAATCTATCCTCACCTCCTCACAGCCAGTCTGTGAGCTCGGTTTATGTCGCAGTGAACGACTATTACTCATTAGCTCCAAGGGTCAGAAAGAATTTTCCTTAGCTAATGTTAGCATGGGTGCAGTGTGATCAGTTCATGATCCATTATAGGCTATGTACATCATTCTCACGATTCTCACATTAGCACCATAGTTGAGGATGTAGCCAGCAACAGCATTGAGAACATTTAGCCTATCTTTGTATTTCTTATTTAGTTGTGGTATGGTGGATTTATTGAAGGTTACGTCTACACTAAAGTATGTGTAAGATTTAACTTAGCTAATGTTCTCACCCTACAAACAGATGGGTGGGGGATGTCGTTTGCTTGTCAATATCTTTGTTTTAGATGAAGATATGACGGTGCCTAATTGATTACAAATTGCTTGAACTTCGTTAAGAACGATACTCATCTCCTTATCCCCTGTTATATGGATCATGATGTCATCAACATAGCTTATAGCATTATGTTTAAGTGAGGCAGGTAGAGCATTTAGGAGAGCATTAACCAGAACATTAAATAGCATGGGACTGAGAACTCCTCCCTGCGGTGTACTTTGGGACATTTCTTTAGACTCACTTCTAAAGCCTTAGTAGAGGATAGAGGATACTACATTTGACAGATATTATTCAACTGAGTAGGCTACCACCAATATTCATTTCGGCTAGTCATGTTGTATATCGCTTCTCTTTGCGATATCAGATGCAGATTTTAGAGATGCGCAGTGAGAAAGGTGGAAATACAATTCTACACACTTCTTCCTTTCATGAAGCCATAGAGATGACGGGAAAGTTGGTGTCTGATTCTCTAGTTTAGAATCAAACACCAACCTTCAAGCTTTCAGATGTTCTACAAAGACAACTAGTGAGGCAGATTGTTCTTCATGTATCAGGCTGTTGTGGCTTAGGGACAGATGTAATGAAACTGTTGGTACAGGAAGTACAACACCCCTGATATAACTGAGATTATACCGTGCTGACAAGGGGTTATCAGATTATACCGTGCTGACAAGGGGTTATCAGATTATACCGTGCTGACAAGGGTTGTCTGGGACCTGCCTTAAAATACAGAGAATATTACAAATTCTACCATGCACTCTCAAGAGGCGGTCACTGCTACTACCGCTGCTCGCCAAAATATATTATGTCCATCCTTCCTCCAGAAGTGAACTCTCTCTCCCTCTCTCTCTCTCTCTCTCTCTCTCTCTCTCTCCTCTCTCTCTCTCCTCTCTCCTCTCTCTCTCTCTCTCTCTCTCTGGCATCATCCTGATGCGAGATAGCAGCGTGTCAGGCCTCGATAAAGTTGCTTTATTTCTTGTAAATTAAGCAAAGTTATGTAGGGTTACTGCGTTACAGCAGTGTTACAGCAGTGATACAGCAGTGTTACAACAGTGTTACAACAGTGTTACAACAGTGTTACAACAGTGTTACAACAGTGTTACAACAGTGTTACAACAGTGTTACAACAGTGTTACAACAGTCACTCTGTTATTTATCTTTGTAATTTTACTAAAGTTTTTTATAACACACACTAATTATGTTCTTCTGACTTGTTCTCCTTCACAACTACTGTTACTGTTCTTATCTTTGTTTCTTCCATTCTTCCTCATTATCGCTTCAGTTTCCTCCTTCATCTTTCATTCGCTCGCTAGACAAAAGAATATACACCTGAGGTGTATATCTCCCAGTCGATGTGGTCAGTTCATCAATCTTGAATAGATTGATGGACTGACCACATCGACTCAAGGTTGAGGGACTGATTACCTCATTCTCCTCCTCGTTCTTCAAGATTCTCCTTTGTATGGACTGATGAAGCCACTGTGTGGCGAAACGTTTCCTCAATAAACATACCCAAGAGCTGCACATGTGTCTAATTTATCAACATGTCGGTTCTCTGAACCATTGATCTACAAATATTCTTGACGTGGTGAAGAGGAGATACGCAGCCTTAGTGACCCTCGTCTAGTCGATAGGCTTCAAACCCCCCATTAACCAACCAGTTCAGTTGGACAGTTCAAGAGACTTTTAACCTGTGCTGTAGACTGATTGGTTATTGGAGTTAAAAGTCTATCAGCTACACGAGGGTCAAGACTGCTTGTCGCATTTATGCCTGAGATATTAATCTCTCAGCTTGTAAATGAGCTGAGGTAGGATCACAGCTCATAACTTGTGAGCTGAGATAGGATCACAGCTCTTAACTTGTGAGCTGAGATAGAATCACATCTCATAAATTGTGAGCTGAGATAGAATCACAGCTCATAACTTGTGAGCTGAGATAGGATCACAACTCTTAACTTGTGAGCTGAGATAGAATCACAGCTCTTAACTTGTGAGCTGAGATAGAATCACATCTCATAACTTGTGAGCTGAGATAGAATCACAGCTCTTAACTTGTGAGCTGAGATAGAATCACATCTCATAACTTGTGAGCTGAGATAGGATCACAACTCTTAACTTGTGAGCTGAGATAGGATCACAGCTCTTAACTTGTGAGCTGAGATAGAATCACAGCTCATAACTTGTGAGCTGAGATAGAATCACAGCTCATAACTTGTGAGCTGAGATAGGATCACAGCTCATAACTTGTGAGCTGAGATAGAATCACAGCTCATAACTTGTGAGCTGAGATAGGATCACAGCTCATAACTTGTGAGCTGAGATAGAATCACAGCTCATAACTTGTGAGCTGAGATAGAATCACAGCTCATAACTTGTGAGCTGAGATAGAATCACAGCTCATAACTTGTGAGCTGAGATAGGATCACAGCTCATAACTTGTGAGCTGAGATAGGATCACATCTCATAACTTGTGAGCTGAGATAGAATCACAGCTCTTAACTTGTGAGCTGAGATAGGATCACAGCTCTTAACTTGTGAGCTGAGATAGAATCACAGCTCTAACTTGTGAGCTGAGCTAGGATCACAGCTCTTAACATTTGAGCTGAGATAAGATCACAGCTCATAACTTGTAAACTCAGCTGTATAAATTACTGTCATGAAACAAGCTGAAGGTTTGATTGAAGAGTCTCATGTGTCAACAGATGTGTGCGCTCCCGGGTACAGCAAGTTCCTGAACCAGTGCTACAAGGTGATCAAGACTGATGCTCCCATCGACTTCACCACAGCACAGAGGAAGTACGTACCTTCTACACCAACACTTACACCTCCTGTAGAAACTGTGTGGGGACAGTTACAAGTTCTTTCTTACATGGGGGAGGGGAGGGGGTAGAGGATTAGAGGGGACTTGTTCACCTAGCATTAAGTAGGTACCTGGGTGTTAGCCGACTGGTGTGGATCGCATCTTGTGGGGACAAAATTAACCTAATTTGCCAGAAATGCTTTGCATAATAAATGGCTTTCTGTATAGTATGGCATTGATGTCACCTAGGTCTGTGTACGTTGTACAAGTACTTGTAGAAATAAAGATTATTGTTATAATTACACCTCGCTTGTACAGCAGAGGTTAGGAGAGGGTCAGACGTCCGTGTACCTCGTGAGGCTGAGACACCATTGAAGTGGAAGAATGTAACATACAGGTGAAGAGGTTAGTGTTAGAGTTGTGAATATTATGAGTCAACACAGACGTGTAGGAGGACTGAGAGACAGTGTTGGGGGCTAGAATAAACCAGAAAGAAAGAATGCTAGGAGTTAGATTAGAGAGTGAGTGTAGGGATCAATATTTGAATAATGAGAGAGAAAGAGAGAGAATACTGCGTCCAGAATAAGAGGAAGATTGAGGCTTACAATAACGGGAGAGAGTTAGGTTATCACAGAAATTATGTAATAGATGGGTCAGTATGGCAGGTTATGTAGCAGGAATGAAAGCAGGTATAGAAGGAATGAAAGCAGGTATAGAAGGAATGAAAGCTGGTATAGAAGGAATGAAAGCTGGTATAGAAGGAATGAAAGCTGGTATAGAAGGAATGAAAGCTGGTATAGAAGGAATGAAAGCTGGTATAGAAGGAATGAAAGCAGGTATAGAAGGAATGAAAGCTGGTATAGAAGGAATGAAAGCTGGTATAGAAGGAATGAAAGCTGGTATAGAAGGAATGAAAGCAGGTATAGAAGAAATGAAAGCTGGTATAGAAGAAATGAAAGTTGGTATAGAAGAAATGAAAGTTGGTATAGAAGAAATGAAAGTTGGTATAGAAGAAATGAAAGCTGGTATAGAAGAAATGAAAGCTGGTATAGAAGAAATGAAAGCAGGTATAGAAGAAATGAAAGAAGGTACAGAAGGAATGAAAACAGGTATAGAAGGAATGAAAGCAGGTATAGAAGGAATGAAAGCAGGTATAGAAGGAATGAAAACAGGTATAGAAGGAATGAAAACAGGTATAGAAGGAATGAAAGCTGGTATAGAAGGAATGAAAACAGGTATAGAAGGAATGAAAGCAGGTATAGAAGGAATGAAAACAGGTATAGAAGGAATGAAAGCTGGTATAGAAGGAATGAAAATAGGTATGGAAGCAGGTATAGAAGGAATGAAAATAGGTATGGAAGGAATGGAAGCAGGTATAGAAGGAATGAAAATAGGTATGGAAGGAATGGAAGCAGGTATAGAAGGAATGAAAATAGGTATGGAAGGAATGGAAGCAGATATAGAAGGAATGAAAATAGGTATGGAAGGAATGGAAGCAGGTATAGAAGGAATGAAAATAGATATAGAAGGAATGGAAGCAGGTATAGAAGGAATGAAAATAGGTATAGAAGGAATGGAAGCAGGTATAGAAGGAATGAAAATAGGTATAGAAGGAATGGAAGCAGGTATAGAAGGAATGAAAGCAAATATAGAAGGAATGAAAACAGGTATAGAAGGAATGAAAGCAGATACAGAGGGAATGAAAGAAGGTACAGAAGGAATGGAAGCAGATATAGAAGGAAAATGGAAGCAGATATAGAAGGAGTTTGGAAGCGAGTATAGAATTGGGTGGAAGAAGGCAGAGGTTGAGGTAAATAGTGGTCAAGAAAGGCAGAGATTGAGGTAAGATAATGGAAGATACGATAAGTTAGAAATAAGATGTTGCAGGAGGAGTTAGGAAGAACAGTGTTGTGTAGACAACACTGTACACGAGTCCTGGCCACAGGTGATAGTGTTAGAATGGTGGTAGTTAGAAAAGTTAGCATGGCGTTACAGGGAATATGTGATGCTACCATCTAATTAAAAGAGATTTGTGTGAGGTTAGGAAGGTCATGATAGTGTTGCTAGGAGGGTCATGATAGTGTTGCTAGGAGGGTCATGATAGTGTTGCTAGGAGGGTCATGATAGTGTTGCTAGGAGGGTCAGGATAGTGTTGCTAGGAGGGTCATGATAGTGTTGCTAGGAGGGTCAGGATAGTGTTGCTAGGAGGGTCAGGATAGTGTTGCTAGGAGGGTCATGATAGTGTTGCTAGGAGGGTCAGGATAGTGTTGCTAGGAGGGTCATGATAGTGTTGCTAGGAGGGTCAGGATAGTGTTGCTAGGAGGGTCATGATAGTGTTGCTAGGAGGGTCAGGATAGTGTTGCTAGGAGGGTCATGATAGTGTTGCTAGGAGGGTCAGGATAGTGTTGCTAGGAGGGTCATGATAGTGTTGCTAGGAGGGTCATGATAGTGTTGCTAGGAGGGTCAGGATAGTGTTGCTAGGAGGGTCAGGATAGTGTTGCTAGGAGGGTCATGATAGTGTTGCTAGGAGGGTTATGATAGTGTTGCTAGGAGGGTCAGGATAGTGTTGCTAGGAGGGTCAGGATAGTGTTGCTAGGAGGGTCATGATAGTGTTGCTAGGAGGGTCAGGATAGTGTTGCTAGGAGGGTCATGATAGTGTTGCTAGGAGGGTTATGATAGTGTTGCTAGGAGGTCAGGATAGTGTTGCTAGGAGGGTCAGGATAGTGTTGCTAGGAGGGTCATGATAGTGTTGCTAGGAGGGTCATGATAGTGTTGCTAGGAGGGTCATTATAGTGTTACTAGGAGGGTCATGATAGTGTTGCTAGGAGGGTCATGATAGTGTTGCTAGGAGGGTCATGATAGTGTTGCTAGGAGGGTCATGATAATGTTGCTAGGAGGGTCATGATAGTGTTGCTAGGAGGGTCATGATAGTGTTGCTAGGAGGGTCATGATAGTGTTGCTAGGAGGGTCATTATAGTGTTACTAGGAGGGTGATGATAGTGTTGCTAGGAGGGTGATGATAGTGTTGCTAGGAGGGTCATGATAGTGTTGCTAGGAGGGTCATGATAGTGTTGCTAGGAGGGTCATGATAGTGTTGCTAGGAGGGTCATGATAGTGTTGCTAGGAGGGTCATGATAGTGTTGCTAGGAGGGTCATGATAGTGTTGCTAGGAGGGTCATGATAGTGTTGCTAGGAGGGTCATGATAGTGTTGCTAGGAGGGTCATGATAGTGTTGCTAGGAGGGTCATGATAGTGTTGCTAGGAGGGTCATGATAGTGTTGCTAGGAGGGTCATGATAGTGTTGCTAGGAGGGTCATGATAGTGTTGCTAGGAGGGTCATGATAGTGTTGCTAGGAGGGTCATGATAGTGTTGCTAGGAGGGTCATGATAGTGTTGCTAGGAGGGTCACGATAGTGTTGCTAGGAGGGTCATGATAGTGTTGCTAGGAGGGTCATGATAGTGTTGCTAGGAGGGTCATGATAGTGTTGCTAGGAGGGTCATGATAGTGTTGCTAGGAAGGTCATGATAGTGTTGCTAGGAGGGTCATGATAGTGTTGCTAGGATGGTCATGATAGTGTTGCTAGGAGGGTCATTATAGTGTTACTAGGAGGGTCATGATAGTGTTGCTAGGAGGGTCATGATAGTGTTGCTAGGAGGGTCATGATAGTGTTGCTAGGAGGGTCATGATAGTGTTGCTAGGAAGGTCATGATAGTGTTGCTAGGAGGGTCATGATAGTGTTGCTAGGAGGGTCATGATAGTGTTGCTAGGAGGGTCATGATAGTGTTGCTAGGAGGGTCATGATAGTGTTGCTAGGAGGGTCATGATAGTGTTGCTAGGAGGGTCATGATAGTGTTGCTAGGAGGGTCAGGATGGTGTTAGAGGCGAGGGTTTGGTGGTGACAGGATGTTGTTAGGACTTGTATTGTGGTAGGATGTTGTTAGAAGATATATTTGTATTTTAGCAACATTGCTTTATAGGTTTTTAATATAATAATAATAATAATAATAATAATAATAATAATAATAATAATAATAATAGGTAATATTAATATTTATCAGTGTTGCCAGTCCAGTTTTTAAAGGTGTACCGCTAGTGAAGGTCAAGTTTTTGTGGTGGTAACACCGTCAGAAAGTCCATATAATTCTGTGTACCTCGATGCTGGTGAAGGTCTCCTGATCCCAGGAACCGGAGCCACCCTCGCGGTTTACCTCCCTATACGGCACAGCTGTTACCTTGTGTGGTTTACTGGTACAGTTGTTAGTCTTGTGTACGGTACGTTAACTGGCTTGAGGTACGTTAAGTAATTGGCTTGTCGTACGTTAAGTAACTGGCTTGTGGTACGTTAAGTAACTGGCTTATGGCACGTTAAGTAACTGGCTTGTGGCACGTTAAGTAACTGGCTTGTGGTACGTTAAGTAACTGGCTTGTGTACGTTAAGTAACTGGCTTGTGGTACGTTAAGTAACTGTCTTATGGTACAGTTGTCAGGGTGACGGTGCAGTGCTGGCCACGGACAAGACACCGCAGGTACATAACTACCTGAAGGAGCTACTGAAGCCTCACCTCTCTGAGACTATCGACTCCCAGTACAGAAGAGCATTCCTGGGCCTTGTTTGTCAGTAAGTATACTCCTGTGTTCTATGTGCCTGTGTTCTCTCTGTGTTCTATCTACCTGTGTTATCTTGTTCCCTACACCTCTGTTCTCTTGTATTATCCCCCCTCCCTCCCTAACTTTACCCTCCCTACCTGTCACTCTTCTCTCGCTGGCCTCAGTTTTTAATCCTATATAATATATAGTCTATATATTTCTCACAGAGTACATTAATATATTGTAACATTCTCATCAAAGGTAATATATTTTAGCTGAGTAGAAGTTGAAATAGATCTTCATTGATCCAGCACTTGCTTAAGACTTCTAGTAATAATAATAATGGTAGAATTACCTGGTAAATGTTAGATGAATGAACACAAGTAACTGTTGTGACAACGTTTCGCTCTCCAGGAGCTTTCTTAAGCTGTTACCAACATTACACTGACACATATGACAAAGCTCCTGGAGAGCGAAACGTTGCCACAATCAAATGTCACATTAGTTGTACTTGTGACCTTTTAATTAACAAGATCTTTAAAGTCTGTGCAGGTTAGCAAATTTTAATGTAGGTTATTTATGTAATTTGCTGAGTGATGTGTTGTGTGAGGCGGCGTTGATGGTCGTTCCTGTTAGTTATGAATTAGTTGTAGTGAAGGTGTGAGTTGTGTGGTGGTGCATTTTTGACAGATGGTTCAGAAAACCCGCAAGTTGGTCAGTGAGACACAACTTCGACTAGTGGTTTTGTCCACTGGTGGTTTTGTCTACTGGTGATTTCGTCCACTGTTGGGTTTTGTCCACTGGTGATTTTGTCCAATGGTGGTTTTGTCCACTGGTCATGTTCACTGGTGGTTTTGTCCACTGGTGATTTTGTCCAATGGTGATTATGTCCACTGGTGATTATTGTCCACTGGTGATTTTTGTCCACTGGTGGTTTTGTCCATTGGTAACTGCCCCTACCACTGCTGCACCTCGTCATTCATGGAAAAGACTCTAGACAGAGTCGTTCCCTTGAACCTGTCTACCTGGACTTCCTAATAATTTCTGGAACACTGCAAGCTCCTGAAGATGTGATTACGAAAGGCCTACTGCTATCATTCAACTCTTCCCGTGGTTTTGCATACATCATGATGAATGAAGGACACCACCTGTACCAGCTGGTTACCAGTGAAGCATCTGTTGAATTACAAGAGTAACAACGTCACTCACTGATACAGTGTCATCCACCAGTGTTACAGACCACGTCTCTCACTGATACAGTGTCATCCACCAGTGTTACAGACCACGTCTCTCACTGATACAGTGTCATCCACCAGTGTTACAGACCACGTCACTCACTGATACAGTGTCATCCACCAGTGTTACAGACCACGTCACTCACTGATACAGTGTCATCCACCAGTGTTACAGACCACGTCACTCACTGATAGTGTCATCCACCAGTGTTACAGACCACGTCACTCACTGATACAGTGTCATCCACCAGTGTTACAGACCACGTCACTCACTGATACAGTGTCATCCACCAGTGTTACAGATCACGTCACTCACTGATACAGTGTCATCCACCAGTGTTACGGACCACGTCACTCACTGATACAGTGTCATCCATCAGTGTTATAGACCACATCGCTCACTGATATTGTCATCCACCAGTGTTACAGACCACGTCACTCACTGATAGTGTCATCCACCAGTGTTACAGACCACGTCTCTCACTGATAGTGTGCATCCACCAGTGTTACAGACCACGTCACTCACTGATAGTGTCATCCATCAGTGTTACAGACCACGTCTCTCACTGATAGTGTGCATCCACCAGTGTTACAGACCACGTCACTCACTGATAGTGTCATCCATCAGTGTTACAGACCACGTCTCTCACTGATAGTGTGCATCCACCAGTGTTACAGACCACGTCACTCACTGATAGTGTCATCCATCAGTGTTACAGACCACGTCTCTCACTGATAGTGTGCATCCACCAGTGTTACAGACCACGTCTCTCATTGATAGTGTGCATCCACCAGTGTTACAGACCACGTCACTCACTGATAGTGTCATCCACCAGTGTTACAGACCACGTCTCTCACTGATAGGGGTGCATCCACCAGTGTTACAGACCACGTCACTCACTGATAGTGTCATCCACCAGTTGTTACAGACCACTCTCTCACTGATAGTGGTGCATCCACCAGTGTTACAGACCACGTCCTCACTGATAGTGTGCATCCACCAAATGTTACAGACCACGTCACTCACTGATATGTCATCCACCAGTGTTATAAAACCACGTCACTCACTGAAAGTGTCATCCATCAGTGTTACAGACCACGTCACTCACTGATAGTGTCATCTCTCATGTTACAGACCACGTCACCACTGATAGTGTCATCTCCCAGTGTTACAGACCACGTCACTCACTGATAGTGTCATCCATCAGTGTTACAGACCACGTCTCTCACTGATAGTGTCATCCACCAGTGTTACAGACCACGTCACTCACTGATAGTGTCATCTCCCAGTGTTACAGACCACGTCACTCCCCTGATAGTGTCATCTCCCAGTGTTCAGACCACGTCACTCACTGATAGTGTCATCTCCCAGTGTTACAGACCACGTCACTCACTGATAGTGTCATCTCCCAGTGTTACAGACCACGTCACTCACTGATAGTGTCATCTCCCAGTGTTACAGACCACGTCACTCACTGATAGTGTCATCCACCAGTGTTAAAAGACCACGTCTCTCACTGATAGTGTCATCTCCCAGTGTTACAGAACCACGTCACTCACTGATAGTGGGCATCCATCAGTGTTACAGACCACGTCTCTCACTGATAGTGTCATCTCCCCGTGTTACTGACCACGTCACTCACTGATAGTGTCATCTCCCAGGTTACAGACCCCGTCACTCACTGATAGTGTCATCTCCCAGGTTACAGACCACGTCAAATCACTGATAGTGCATCTCCCAGTGTTACAGACCACGTCACTCACTGATATGTCATCCACCGGTTACAGACCACGTCACTCACTGATAGTGTCACCACCAGTGTTAAAAGACCACGTCACTCACTGATAGTGTCATCCACCAGTGTTACAGACCACGTCACTCACTGATAGTGTCATCCACCAGTGTTACAGACCACGTCTCTCACTGATAGTGTGCATCCACCAGTGTTACAGACCACGTCACTCACTGATAGTGTCATCCACCAGTGTTACAGACCACGTCACTCACTGATAGTGTCATCCACCAGTGTTACAGACCACGTCACTCACTGATAGTGTCATCCACCAGTGTTACAGACCACGTCACTCACTGATAGTGTCATCCACCAGTGTTACAGACCACGTCACTCACTGATAGTGTCATCCACCAGTGTTACAGACCACGTCACTCACTGATAGTGTCATCCACCAGTGTTACAGACCACGTCACTCACTGATAGTGTCATCCACCAGTGTTACAGACCACGTCACTCACTGATAGTGTCATCTCCCAGTGTTACAGACCACGTCACTCACTGATAGTGTCATCCACCAGTGTTACAGACCACGTCACTCACTGATAGTGTCATCTCCCAGTGTTACAGACCACGTCACTCACTGATAGTGTCATCTCCCAGTGTTACAGACCACGTCACTCACTGATAGTGTCATCCACCAGTGTTACAGACCACGTCACTCACTGATAGTGTCATCCACAGTGTTAAAAGACCACGTCCACTCACTGATATGTCCATCTCCCAGTGTTACAGACCACGTCACTCACTGATAGTGTCATCCACCAGTGTTACAGACCACGTCACTCACTGATAGTGTCATCTCCCAGTGTTACAGACCACGTCACTCACTGATAGTGTCATCTCCCATTTTTACAGACCACGTCACTCACTGATAGTGTCATCCACCATGTTACAGACCACGTCACTCACTGATAGTGTCATCCACCAGTGTTACAGACCACGTCACTCACTGATAGTGTCATCCACCAGTGTTACAGACCACGTCACTCACTGATAGTGTCATCCTCCAGTGTTACAGACCACGTCACTCACTGATAGTGTCATCCACCAGTGTTACAGACCACGTCACTCCCCTGATAGTGTCTCCTCCAGTGTTACAAAACCACGTCACTCACTGATAGTGTCATCCACCAGTGTTACAGACCACTCACTCACTGATAGTGCATCCACCAGTGTTACAGACCACGTCACTTCACGATATGTCATCCTCCAGTGTTACAGACCACGTCACTCACTGATAGTGTCATCCACCAGTGTTACAGACCACGTCACTCACTGATAGTGTCATCCACCAGTGTTACAGACCACGTCACTCACTGATAGTGTCATCCTCCAGTGTTACAGACCACGTCACTCCCCTGATAGTGTCATCCACCAGTGTTACAGACCACGTCACTCACTGAAGTGTCATCCTCCAGTGTTACAGACCACGTCACTCACTGATGTGTCATCCACCATGTTACAGACCACGTCACTCACTGATAGTGTCATCCTCCAGTGGGTTTCAGACCACGTCACTCACTGATAGTGTCATCCACCAGTGTTACAGACCACGTCACTCACTGATAGTGTCATCCACCAGTGTTACAGACCACGTCACTCACTGATAGTGTCATCCACCAGTGTTTTCAGACCACGTCACTTTACTGATAGTGTCATCCACCAGTGTTACAGACCACGTCACTCACGATAGTGTCATCCTCCAGTGTTAACAGACCACGTCACTCACTGATAGTTTTCCTCCACCAGTGTTACAGACCACGTCACTCACTGATAGTGTCATCCTCCAGTGTTACAGACCACGTCACTCACTGATAGTGTCATCCACCAGTGTTACAGACCACGTCACTCACTGATAGTGTCATCCACCAGTGTTACAGACCACGTCACTCACTACTTAGGAAATAACTCATGGTGGTCATAACAACCTTCACAATGAACAAGAAAGCTTTAAACATAACAAGCTGACTCGGTTATAACTATTCTCGGTGTTGTAGAGCTGCCTAGAGCTTTCCCAGCTTATTATGTGTCTTTCCTGGATGTGCACCACCAGGCCAGCTCTAAGACAGGTCCTAAGCAGGTTCAAGACTGGTACAAGGGTATTGTGTAGACCAGCTTGACTGGAGAGTCTACTCCTGCAGTCACCAGTTATTCTCACAGCTTCAGCTCAACTCATATGTAAGTGAACACACACGTATATAAAACTACCGTTGATAATTTACAGAACTTAGAAAGGCAGTTTGAGTTTATTGTGTGACCTGACCTGAATGTTAGGACAGAGGTCAGTAGGTCAACTTGCCTGGCAAGACATGTTGCACACCTTGAGTCTGGTCACCACACCTTTACTTGACCTGCTTATGTCTTGGTGAGACCGGATGACCAGGCTGGTGTAGTAATAATAATAATTGAAGCTTGTGAACTTTGTTACTGTGACCTCTGACCCTTGTTACTGTGACCTCTGAACCCTTGTTACTGTGACCTCTGACCCTTGTTACTGTGACCTCTGACCCTTGTTACTGTGACCTCTGAACCTTGTTACTGTGACCTCTGACCCTTGTTACTGTGACCTCTGACCCTTGTTACTGTGACCTCTGACCTTGTTACTGTGACCTCTGACCCTTGTTACTGTGGCTCTAAACCTTATTGTTGTGACCTCTGACCTTGTTAGTGTGACGTCTGACCATTGTTACTGTGACCTCTGAACCTTTGTGTTATGTGTTATGTGATAAGATGTGCTAGCCTTGTGTTCCGGCGTGATAACCTTCTGTTAGCAGGTGTTTAACGCGTGCATGTGTTAAGCGAACATGTGTTAAGCGAAGTGTGTGTGTTGCAGGAGCGGCTGTGACTCTCCAGCCAATTGGCTGTACGCTGACGGCAGCAAGTGTGAGGGCAACAACTTCTGTGATTGGCTGACGGTAAGCAACCCCTGAACCCACCACGCTCTTCATCCAAGGAGGTGGATGACCATCTAGCAGCACTTAATGCTAAGTTTGAACCATATTTTCATAACTCTGCCAGTTGCTCCAGAAGGTCGTTGCTGGATGAGCCAAGTTGGCTACTACAGTTTTAAAACCTCACAATATATACACCGGAATTAATATTCACAACACACACACCACACACACACACACAACACACACAACACACACCACACACACACACACACACACACACAACATATATAATATATATATATAAATATATAATATATATATATATATATATTGAGAAAATAAAAGGATAATTGATAATATAGGAAAAAAGAGACTTGTTGAGTATTGTGTTGAGTATTGATGGTGTTGCAGGTTGGATCAACCAACGAGTGGAACGCTCTACCCACCAGCCTGTATGGTGCCTCCATCGCTGCCATGCTGGACGACTTCCCTGACACCTCTTACCGCTACAAGTTACAACCATACCCAGCTGACCACTCTCTCCAGTACATGGTGTGTCAGAAGGACGGTACGTCGAACACTGCTACCACCTTACTTCTTACCTCACCTCTCACTTCTTACCTCACCTCTCACTTCTTACCTCTCACTTACCTCGCCTCTCACTTCATACCTCAGATCTCACTTCTTACCTCACCTCTCACTTCTTACCTCACCTCTCACTTCTTACCTCACCTCTCACTTCTTACCTCAGATCTCACTTCTTACCTCACCTTTCACTTCTTACCTCTCACTTCTTACCTCACCTCTCACTTCTACCTCAGATCTCACTTCTTACCTCAGATCTCACTTCTTACCTCAGATCTCACTTCTTACCTCACCTCTCACTTCTTACCTCAACTCTCACTTCTTACCTCACCTCTCACTTCTTACCTCAAATCTCACTTCTTACCTCACCTCTCACTTCTTACCCTCACTTCTCACTTCTTACCTCAAATCTCACTTACCTCAAATCTCACTTCTTACCTCAACATCTCACTTCTTACCTCAAATCTCACTTCTTACCTCACCTCTCACTTCTTGCCTCACCTCTCACTTCTTACCTCACCTCTCATCTTTCTTTACCTCACCTCTCACTTCTTACCTCAACTCTCACTTCCTACCTCAGATCTCACTTCTTACCTCACCTCTCACTTCTTAGCTCATCTCTCACTTTTACCTCACTTCTTACCTCAAATCTCACTTCTTACCTCAACTCTCACTTCTTACCTCAGATCTCACTTCTTACCTCACCTCTCACTTCTTAGCTCACTTCTCACTTCTTACCTCACTCTCACTTCTTCATACCTCACTTCTCACTTCTTACCTCACCTCTCACTTCTTACCTCAGATCTCACTTCTTACCTCACCTCTCACTTCTTACCTCACCTCTCACTTCTTACCTCACCTCTCACTTCTTACCTCACCTCTCACTTACCTCAGATCTCACTTCTTACCTCACCTCTCACTTCTTACCTCACCTCTCACTTCTTACCTCACCTCTCACTTCTTACCTCACCTCTCACTTCTTACCTCACCTCTCACTTACCTACACCTCTCACTTCTTACCTCACCTCTTACTTCTTACCTCACCTCTCACTTCTTACCTCAACCTCGCACTTCTTACCTCACCTCTCACTTCTTACCTCACCTCTTACTTCTTACCTCACTTCCTCCTTCTTACCTCACCTCTCACTTCTTACCTCACCTCTCACTTCTTACCTCACCTCGCACTTCTTACTTAACCTCTCACTTCTTACCTCACCTCTCACTTCTTACCTCACCTCTCACTTTCTTACCTCACCTCTCACTTCTTACCTCACCTCTCACTTCTTACCTCACCTCTCACTTCT